CTGTGCAGTACGTCGGGCATGGGGCTAGTGCTTGGAGGGCGCAGTCCAGTGGTCCTTACAGGCCACGCGGACGCTTCTTGGGCTGACGACCAGGCTACGCAGCGGTCGTCACAGGGTTACACCTTCAGCCTTGGTTCCGGCTCTGTCTCGTGGCGGTCTACTCGCTCGTCTTCGGTTCTCGGCTCCAGTTGTGAGGCTGAGATCTACGCCGGGGCCATGGCTGCACAGGAGCTTCGCTGGCTCACCTACATGCTGACTGACCTTGGAGAGCCGCCTCGTTCTCCTGCACTGCTGTACGTAGACAACAAGGCAATGCTTGCCTTGTGTCGAGAGCAGCGCTTGGAGCACAGAACGAAGCACATTGCTCTCCGCTACTTCCTTGCTCGTGAGCTGCAGCAGCGTGGTCAGTTGCGACTTGCGTACGTGGCCTCTGAGGCCAACACTGCTGATGTGTTCACCAAGGCACTCGCACCTTGTGACCATCAGCGCTTTTGCTCCCAGCTGGGTCTTGTGCCTGTCTTGCCTCACTTGCTCTCCTCTTGACTTTACTTGTACTGTGACATATATATATACCTGCTCTTGCTTGTCTAGCTTTATATATATGTCTGTACTCTTGCATGTGAACTGGCCTTTGGCCTTGCTCTTGTGCTCGGACTGTGTGGTGACTTTGTGATCCACCCTGAGCTTGCTTTACTTTGCTTGACTGGTCTTGTGACCCCTTGTTCTCCCCCACTTTGCCTATGGGGGTGTGTCAAACATTATATATGTTATGCTTGTGTAGGCTACAGTGGGTTAGCCTATAGGGGGTACACAATTCTAGGGTTTACTACTTGTACTCATTTCCACTGCTAGTTCACTCATTCCTGTTCGCTTATTCTCACAGACCGCAGCAGTACTAATCGCCCATTCCAACCCTTTATTGGCAGGATTATTCAAGCACGGCTACAGGATCGACAGATTTTTCAGGACCAGTCAACACCGCGGGGTCACTACACCGCATGGAAGTTACTACCTAAAAGTCGATACTAACCGAGTTTGGGTACCTTCCTACCGGCCCTTACGCGAATTGCTGACGCAAGAAGTACACGACTCCAACCTCTCCGGGCATTTCGGCGTCGACAAAACATTGAAGCTGCTGCAACGGAATTACTACTGGCCCGACATGGCGTCGGACGTGCAGCGCTATGTGTCCGCCTGCCCGACCTGCCAGGCCATGAAATCATCACGACAACGCCCAGCTGGATTACTCCAGCCCCTCGAGCCACCCGAACGACCGTGGCAACAGGTGACTATGGCTTTCGTCACGGGCCTTCCAGCTGGCGCAAGTTGCAATGACTCCGTGCTCGTCGTCGTTGATCGCTTAACGAAAATGGCGCATTTCGCACCCTGCCGTACAACGATCACAGCCGACGAAACAGCGCGACTCTTCATCTCAACCGTCGTACGCCTACACGGGTTACCTTCGACGATCATCAGCGATCGAGATCCGAAATTCACGTCGAAATTTTGGCAGGAGACATGGGCACAGTACGGCACCCGCCTGCAATTTTCGTCGTCCTACCACCCGCAAACCGACGGACAGACAGAGAGGACAAGCCAAACAATGGAGCAGCTGATTCGCACGAACTGCCCGGACATCACCAAGTGGGAGGATTCCCTTCCCATGCTCGAGTTTGCGTACAATAACGCCCCATCTGCAACGACCAAGCAGTCACCCTTCTACCTCAATTACGGGATTGACCCGGTGGTACCCTCATCAACGACTCCCGACAACCCGGTCCCCCGGTCACAGCAGTTTCTTTCGGAGCTCCAGGCAGCGCGCGCCAAAGCAGCGGACTTTATCCGAAAAGCAAATTCGAACGCCAGCCGCTACGCTGACCAACATCGCCGCAATTTACCCTTTCGCGAAGGGCAGATGGTTCTCCTGGACACCAAAAACCTCAAACTGCCCCAACCTGCAAAACTACGTCCACGCTACGTGGGGCCTTTCCGCGTTATTCGGATGCTGACACCGGTCACTGCGAAACTTCTCCTCCCGGACGACTGGCATATTCATGACGCTTTCCACGTCAGTCTACTTCGCCACTATGTGGCACCCCAGTCATCTGACGTCGCTCGACCCCACCAAGCGCCAAGTGTCCGACCGATGGCAGACCCCACCCTCCAACCTTGGAAGATCTTGAATCATCGCATTCGTGCGACCCCCGCTGGACGACACGTCGATTTTCTTCTGCGCTGGGTGGATCGCACGACCGACGATGACACGTGGGTCCCGGCCGACTCACTACAAGGGCACTCGGTCCTTGGGCAATATCTTGCTCGCCGGCACGTGCCCGATGTTGACCACCTTTCTTGAAGGGTGGGGTAGTGTAAGGAATTTTCGCCAATTCCTTACTGAGGCACCTCTTACGCGTACAACCCCAATTTTCGGAATTCAGGCTCGGTCCGTCGACCTCGCCTTCCGAACGTCTTCCGCGTCGCCTTCGGGTTTTCCAAACCCAAACCTACACCCTGTCGAGAGTTGAACGAATGAGAGAACGAGTAGATTAAAGTAGGGCCTAGGCTTAGTAGCATAGGCCCAAGTAGGATGTCGAGCGGGTTTTGCCTAGGGTGAGTATCGAGTGAGTTGGAAGAGAAATTGGAGAATGATGGTTTCACTATAGGGTTCGAAGTACATATAGCATAGGAACCAAATAAGGTGCACCACCAACAACAGTTTAAATAACTACACTAACTAAAACTACAAGCAGTTATAAAACATGACAAATATATTTCGACACGCCCCCATAATGCTTGTAGGTAGAAATGTAGTTACGCCATGCAAAAGAATAACAAGCAACAGCAGGTACTGCACGCGGGCTAACATTGAGTAGTTACCCCCTCCATCTCCTCACCCTCCTCCTTCCCCTCCCCCACACTGCTGCAGGAGCAGCAGAGAAGGGGGGAAGAGAGGAGAGGTGGAGGGACGGCTGCATGTTGCCTCACACCCGCCACCCCGGTACCACTCCCCCTGCTCCCCCACATCCTCACACCCTCCCCCCCCAGCGGCAGCTGCAGCGGTGGGACTGAAAGAAGGAGGAGGGGAAGGGAGAGAGTTGACCCTACACTCCAACACCCGCCACCCCCATACCCTCCTCCCCACGGCTGCAGGGAGACAAAGGAGGAGGGGGGTGGGCGGGAAGTAAGCCGCAGAGCGGCGAAACGGTGTCGGTGCAGATGGGTCAGGGGCGGCTTCAGGGAGAGCAGGGGCGGAAAGGCACGTCGCGTGCCAGTGCCACGGGGCGCACGACGGGTAGGATAAGAGAAAGGGCCCGATCGTGTGCCTCGGGGTGCACGACGAGCAGGGCACCATCGTGTGCCACGGGGCGCACGATGGGCAGTTGAAGGGCACCGTCGCGTGCCACGGGGCGCGCGACGGGCAGAGAAGGAGTCACACGCCCGTGGGCGGGACAAGGTAAAAATCGTCACGCGCCCTAGGCGCGCGACCGGAAAATCTTAGCAGCGGAAGTGTAGGGCGGGCCCACAGGCCAGGACGTAATTCGCTCCGATAACATGTCGAGAGTTGAACGAATGAGAGAACGAGTAGATTAAAGTAGGGCCTAGGCTTAGTAGCCTAGGCCCAAGTAGGATGTCGAGCGGGTTTTGCCTAGGGTGAGTATCGAGTGAGTTGGAAGAGAAATTGGAGAATGATGGTTTCACTATAGGGTTCGAAGTACATATAGCATAGGAACCAAATAAGGTGCACCACCAACAACAGTTTAAATAACTACACTAACTACAACTACAAGCAGTTATAAAACATGACAAATATATTTCGACACGCCCAACCCTCACATGACTCCGCGGTCCCGGCTTAGCTAGCTATGCTATATTATGCCTAGGCCCCGTTGTTTGCTCAGTAGTTGTAATCACTTCCGTGATATTATATTCTGTGCACTCTTCTTTCATACAACTCATAACAATTAGGGCGAAATTTTGTTTTGAACTTATAACAAAAGAAGTTCTAATTCCCTTCTATCGAAGTTCAAACATCGGGCTTACCACACTGTAAAAAAACACACACACATACATGGTCGAACCCCGACATTCGAACTTGTAAAAACGAGCCGAGCCGCACGTCAACATCATAGGTTACCCGGTTCGCTCGTCTTGACAGTGCGCCACGTCAACATTTTGCGCCTCGGTTTACAAGGACCTAGAGCTCCAACTCACCTTCCGCGCCGAGTGTGTAACCAGGGTACAAATAGCCCCCGTGGCAACACCTTGTATACTCGTCATCGTGACTGACGTCAAGATGGGCAGGACGCGTTGCCACATCGTGCTCGAACGTGCCACGATGCTGGACACGTGGCTACCACTGTGTGCACAAATTGTGGGGTGTCTTCGTTGTGCAACTTCATGCACTGGCGAAGCGCTCGCCCGTTTCGCCAGCTGTTCGGACGTGCTGCAAATCACACACGCTCGCATGAACGTGCGCACGCACGTTCCCGCCTCCGACTCGAGTCAAGTTCATATTTCAAACTCGAACTTTTGCAGAGCCCATACAATGCTTGGTTCGCGAAGCACCCTTCGCGAAATTAGCGAAAAGGGTAACCACCCAAAGTATGAACTTTATTTTGAACTTCTAAACAGACCACACGCGCCCTAAAACCTACAACACAGGGTTCAGAAAACAGGTGCCCTGAAGTTCCTCAATATTGTATTTATAAAGGGTTAGCCCCCTGGCTTGGGTTACTCCTTGCTTAGCCTCTGTGTTGTCTCGGTTACGACCTTAATAAAACTTAAACTTAAACTTAAACCTCAATATTGTTTTTATAAAGCACAAAAGTCCATCCAGAAATCCCCCTTGCAAGAGCGAGGTTCTCAACATGGGGTCCAAAAGTCACCACCACTTCAACCCTCCTCCCAACCTTTCTTACACCCAACCAACATACTCGCCTAGCTCCCGCTGACACCACTGCTCGCTAGCGGCATTTGCGGTCGGCTCCCCGTCGCATCCAATGCGGGTCGCTGCTCTCCCCCTCGCCTCGTCGCCGCTCGCATTCGCGCCATCTCGGCGCGCTTCCTCCACCCGCTCCTGTCCCTCGCGGAATGTAGCTCCGGCCTCTGCAGGCCTCCTGCTGACCTCATCGCTTCTCCCCAAGCGCACCGTTCTCTTCAGTCATCATCCCCGCGCGGTAGTAGATTCTAATCACCTCAGCATTGCAGCGCGTTCGCTGTCCAATCCTAGTTGCCGAGCAGTCGCAATGGCCGCTGCTGACGGTGGCAATTCCGCGGATGGATCGAAGATATCCGTGCTGTTCGTGTGTCTGGGTGAGAATGTTATGCCTGCCACGTGGCACGGGAATCCGACCGAGCATTGCTCGCTGGCATCGATGCATTGGTAACTCGCGGCGCATTGCTCTCTCGACGCGTGCTTCTATCGTCATCCACCCTTCTTCCAACCCACAGTATTCCCGTCCAGTGTCCTTCTTCCCAGTGCCACGTCATTCCGATATGCGCCAATTCCTAAGCGTCGAGGTGGCCTCCTTGTCCTCCCCAAGACCATGTCCATCTGTCATCCAAACCTTGCCCGTGCCTCCCCGCGCCAGGCAACATCTGTCGCAGTCCGTCCGCGGAGGGCGTGTTCACGCACATGGTGAAGCAGCGCGGCCTCGCGGACCGCTTCCACGTCGACTCTGCCGGAACCATCGACTACCACGAGGTACGCCACGTCACCAGCACACGCGACGCGCTCCGCTCGCTCTTGTCTACACTTCGTTGTTAAGCAAAGCAGCCCAACTCAGCTCCAATCCTCCGCTGCCTTGCCCCAGATTCTTTGGTTTCCCCCATGTGTTCGCGCCTCGCATGTCACCCGTTACCCCACAGGGCAACCCCGCGGATCCGCGCATGCGCAAGGCGGCAGAGCGGCGCGGCATTCCCCTGACGTCGCTGTCGCGGCCCATCCGGCCGTCGGACTTCTCGACCTTCGACATCATCCTTGCGATGGATCGCAGCAACCAAGGTGCGTGATGTTGCACGGCATGGGAGGGTGGGCTGGAAAGGGAGGGGCATGTAACCTGTATAGGGAAAATCAGAGTCGGCCAGGGGGAATGGGTTTTTTCATGGTTGTTGGGATCCTTGTACTCGTCCTCTACCATCCCTCCTGCTCCCTCCCCAACCTCCCCATGTCTTTTTTTCTTCTCATTGATTCTTCCTGGTAGTGGTTTTTTATCTGCTTGACTTGCGGCTGCCATCACATGTGCAGATGACATAGGCCGTGCCTTCCGCCAGTGGCAGCGCCCTCATGATCTCCCAAGAGATGGCCTCGATAAGGTACCGTATCAGAATCAGGTTTTGATCTGGTCGCTGGCATGCCATTGTGGACTTTCTGACGTCATGCATTTGGACTTTCTCGGCACAATCACTCAGGAGTTTCCACATCTTGTTGAAAAAGGTCCAAAAGTTCCTTGTTTTTGTCTTCATATGCTATTCCATCCAGGTTAAGCTCATGTGTTCCTATTGCCGCAAACTTAATTATGACGAGGTCCCCGACCCTTACTATGGTGGCGCACAGGGATTCGAAACAGTAAGTATCTGATGTGTGGTCGCCAATGAATTCAGAGCCTTGTGAAACCAGTAGAACTTGTACGGTAGCTAACTTTTCCCCATTCTTGGCATGCAGGTATTGGACTTGCTGGATGATGCTTGTGGGGGACTACTTGATTCCCTTATTAACGAGTAGTGAGGCTATCAGACTTCACTAGACGCTAAACCAGAATCAATAAACCAATAGCAGTGTTAGCACAATCATTAAACAGAACTACCTGCAACATACGGTACAAGGTATTTTATTGCAGTTACTGACTGTAAGGAAAATTCCTTTTCCTTACTTCGCATCCCTGCTCAACGCGTACATCACTGCAGCACCACAGTCAGCACCGTTACCACTCGCAACCCTCGCATCGACAATCCGCCCGCCAACTTCGCACATCGCACCCCGACTTCACGGCTCGGCGGGTAACCCGCGCTCCGGGCCTCCGCTTTGACACTTTTCCCAACCTCAGTCCCAGGCCCGTCGTGCGACAACCACAGTCCATTACCGTTACCACTGTAGTTTCGCTATATATTCTTTGCTCATTGTACTCTTGCTCCGATAGTGCAATTCTCGTTCGTTCACTCAATTGCACTCGTAACACTTGGTATTCAGAGCCTACGATCTCCTCTCGGACTGCACCCACACCTTCACTTCCCCACTATCTCAAATTTTGGGGGGGGTAGACGTTCCTCAGCGACACAGCACCGCCACTCGTAGTGCTCTCTCGTAAGCACGCACGGCCACGACCGAGGCTCTCGCTGAGCTCGCCCGACACCCCCGCCATGGCCGAATTCACGCTCGCCACATTGACGCAGGAGCAGCTCGACCGTCTGGTGCGCCAACTTGAAGATTCGGCGCTCGAAATTGCGACGCTTACGGCGGAACGTGACTCCGCGCGTCAGCAATCAACGATGAACACCCCAGCGCCACCACACGCACCGACAAATGCATCTGCACAATCAGACGACCCGATCGTCATATCGTACGGCACACCAACACAAAACAACAGCGTGGGACAGCGCTCAGGCGCAACCAGCGATGGTGCCGCCCAGCCGATGCCTGGCATGGGAGGAAACAGGGTCGCACTAAGCTCGCGGGAGCCTCGCGAAGCCCGTCGACACGTAGAGTTCGCGGCGACAAGTGGCGAACATACCTATATGACGAGAAGTGAGAATGGAAGGGATGGACTATGAAACAGTTGGGTACAAGTACTAACCCTAATTGGGTTGTACCCCTTGTGGGCTACCCCACTACAACCTACACAAATGTATAAGCTATAATGTTCTGACACACCCCCATAGGCAAAGTGGGGGAGAACAAGAGGTCACAAGACCAGTCAAGCAAAGCAAAGCAGAGCAAGCTCAGGTTGGATCACAAAGTCATCACACAGTCCGAGCACAAGAGTAAGGCCACAAGGCCAGTTCACATGCAGGAGTACACATAGATATATATAAGGCTAAACAAGTAAGGGCACGTATAGAAAGAAGACAGTACAAACAAGATCAAGAAGTGAGCAAGTGAGGCCAGGTAGGCACAAGACCTAGCATAGTACAGAAGCGCTGATGATCACAAGGCGGAAGGGCCTTGGTGAAGATATCAGCAATGTTGGCCTCAGAGGCCACGTAAGCAAGGCGGAACTGACCACGCTGCTGCAGCTCACGAGACAAGAAGTAGCGGAGAGCAATGTGCTTCGTTCTGTGCTCGAGTATGTGCTCCCGACACAATGCCAGCATGGCCTTGTTGTCTACGTACAGCACTGGAGGAGAACGAGGCGGCTCTCCTAGGTCAGTCAGTAGGTAGGTGAGCCAGCGTAGCTCCTGTGCAGCCATGGCCCCAGCGTAGATCTCAGCCTCACAGCTGGAGCCGAGAACAGAGGACGAGCAGGTAGACCGCCACGAAACAGAGCCGGAGCCAAGGCTCAAGGTGTAACCCTGGGACGACCGCTGCGTAGCCTGGTCGTCAGCCCAAGAAGCGTCAGCGTGACCTGTGAGGACTACTCGACGTCGCCCTCCAAGCACTAGCCCCATGCCCGACGTACTGCACACGTAGCGCAACACCCTCTTTGCTGCCACCATGTGCTCTGGTCTATGTCTCCCAGGAGCAACATAGTGTGCCAAGATGCTAAGAGGGTATGCAAGGTCAGGATGTGTGCAGGTCATCAGGTACATGAGGCAGCCAACAAGCTCTGGGTACGGGCCACTCGGCTCTACGGACTCATCCAAAGGCAGAGCTGAGAGCGAGTGACGAGTAGACAGAGGAGTGGCCTGAGGCGAGGAGTACGTGAAGCCGAAGCGCTGAAGGACCTGCTGCACCATGTGTGACTGAGTTAGGGTAATGGTGCGCTGTGCTCTGTCCCGGGTGATCTGCAAGCCAAGGTAGCTGCGCAGCTCACCCAGGTCTGTGCACGTGTGTCTCTTCTGCAGCTCGGACTTCACGTGGGCGAGTCCCGCTGTGTACCCAGTGGCAAAGAGCAAGTCGTCGACGTACACGAGGATGTAGAACGGCGGCAAAGAGGTGTTGGTGCGTAGAAACAGCGACGGGTCGGCTGTAGAAGGAGCAAACCCAAGAGCCGCAAGTGAATCTTCAGTGTGTCATGCCACTCACGGGGCGCCTGGCGGAGACCGTAGACTTGCCGCCGGAGGCTCCACTGGGTACCAGGAGGAAACGACCTAGTGAAGCCAGGTGGGCGGCGCAGCCAGATCTCCTCGTGCAGGCTACCCTGCAGAAAAGCAGTGCTGAAGTCAAGAGAGTGGAGCTCGTAGTCGCGCTGAGCGGCTATGTGTAGCAGCACCCGAAGAGTGGTCATCTTCGGGGTGGGAGAGAAGGTCCGGAAGTTAGTCAACTCCCTGCCGCTGACTGAAGCCTCGAGCGACGTAACGCGCCTTGAAGACAGGCGGAGAGCCCGGCGGCCGCTTCACCCTGAAGATCCACATGCCACTGACGATGTTCGCCCCAGGTGGGGGAACCTCGTCGACGTAGGTGCCTGTGGACTTCCAGGAAGCCATCTCTGCGTCCATGGTCGACTTCCACTTAGAGGAGTAGGGACCGTCGATCGCCTCAGTGTATGATAGAGGAGTCCGGATGTCTAGTGCATACGGGTCTCCCTCAGGGGCAATCAGCGTGGACACGAGATGGGGCAAAGCGGCCACAAAGCACTGGAACTCCTCCTGCCTGTCTGTGCTAAGAGCACACTCACCATCGACAAACGGAGGACAAACAGACTCAGACTCAGAAACAAGACTAGCAGCGTAGTGTAGACAAAAGCGAGCAGCGAAGTCGACAAGCTCAGCAGCTAGAGCAGACGCAACAGTGGACTCAAAGGAAGGGTCAGTGACAACAGTAGCAAGAAGGCGCGTGACCGAAGGACTTGCAAAACGAAGGGAGTCAGACTCCGGGTCAGCAAGAGAAGGAAGAGAGGACTCTGGAGGATACGGCAAAGGGACACGAAGAGGAGCAGTGGACGGACGCAGTGCCATCTGGTGTGTGCCAGGGACCGCAGAAGGACGCGAACGCGTAGCACGACGACTAGTGCGAGCAGCACGAACAGGCGACGCAGGACGAGATGCATGCTCACGATGCTCAGCAAGACCTCCAGTAGGGCCAGTGTAGGGAGAAGGAGCACGTAGCAGGGAGGTGGGCTGTAACTGTGACTGCGACTGGATAGGCTGTGGATACTCCAAGGGAGGAGCAGGACCAGGAGAGGGAGGGAGACCAAGAACCTGCTCTAGGAGCGGAACGAAGTACGGCCTTGGCCGCTCAGCGCCTCCAGAACCAGCAAGGACGACACCAGTACCTCCAGCAGACCAGTACCTCCGGCAGCACCACCGCCAGCAGACCCTCCAGCTCCAACAGCGCCAACTCCAGTATTCTCAGAAGCACCAGCGCCAGCAGCACCGCCAGCGCCAACACCCCCAGCAGCTCCAGCTCCAGGAGCACCAACTACAGTAGGACCGTTAGCACCAGCAGCCTCAGCAGCACCCCCATACGCACCAGCACCAGTAGAAACACCACCGCCAACACCCGTAGCAGCTCCAGCTCCAGCAGCACCAGCACCGACAGCAACTCCAGCAGCACCCCGAGACTCAGCAGCACGTCTCCAGCGGCGGGCAAACCACTCGCGCAGCTCCTGTGGAGAGAGCGGCTCCCGCCTCGACGAAGCACCGCCGGCGGCCACACAAGCAGACCCAGCACCCCCAGGCCCCGCACCCCCAGGCTCAGCACCCCCAGGCTCAGCACCCCCTGACTCAGCACCCCTAGGCTCAGCACCCCGAGTCTCAGCACCCTCAGACTCAGCACCCCCAGACCCGGCACCCGCAGGCTGAGCACCTCTAGCAGCACCAGAGTCAACAACTACCTCGACAGGCTCGACTGCGTCGATCTTGGACACACATGAAGGGGCAGGACCCTGAGGAGGGAGGGGGTCTACTTGGGTAGCACCTGGCGCAAGGAAGAGCGGCGGCGGGGGAAGGGGAGCACTGCGGTAGGGGAAGAGACGGTAGTAAGGCACCGACTCGTCAAAGGTGACGTCCTGGGAGGACAGAACATGGCGCGTGGTGGGGTGGTAAAACTGCCAGCCAGGCGCGTCGGGGGGGAAGCCAAGGAAGACGCAAGGAACAGCACGGGGGGACAGCTTGTCCGCAGACAAGTCGCAGACAAACGCCCGAGATCCCCTGACTCGAAATGCAGACGCATCGCCAACCTTCCTTTTCCACCGCAAGGCGGGGGAGGTCTCTGGCAAGGAGACCTGGGGCTGAAGGTTGAGCTGATGTGCGGCGTACTGGACCGCAAACGGCCACAGAAAATGGGGGGCAGCCGCATGCATCATGGACGTACGTGCGACGTCCATGACCATGCCAATGTGGTGCTCAGCAGTCCCATTTTGTTGTGGAGAGGCCGGAAGCGTGAAGGTCTGGCGGATGCCCTTTGCGCGATAGAAGGCTCCTAGACGGGCAGAGGAAAACTCCCCGCCTCTGTCCGAGTGCAGACGCAGAACACGAAAGTCCGAGCCGAAACTCTCTCTGAGCTGGAGACGAGCTGCACGGATCCAGTCGATCAACACCTCAGTGACGTCACCCTTGCTGCGCAAGGGGAAGACTGTGGTGTAACGCGAGTAGTCGTCAACGACCAGCAGAAAGTACCGCTCTCTC